ATGAGGTGAGAGAGAAATTGAAAATAATTTCCATCACAGTTAAGAATATTAAAAAATCATAATATAAATTCAGAAAAAGTTTAATGTTAGAAAACTAAATTCAGTAAGTTGTTTAATTAAGAAGAATTACCCAGTTAGATTCTAAAAAGAGTATAGTATATATATATATATAATAATAATAATAATATTAATAATGATAAAAGAATATCTTGACACACTACAGTCATAGAAGATTCTTCAAGCTTAGAATTCCCCCATCACTTCACATCACATCACATCACATAATGCTCCACTCTCTTTTGTTGGTTTTGTAGGAATCGAGCCACTCAAAACGCATTCTTAGATGAAGAAGTTGTTTTGATCATTCATTGGTCAATGTTATACCTCCAAACCCATTATTATTTCATTCTTTGGTCAACTGTGCCTCTTTTCTGACCTTAATTTCTCATTGAAATTGTTGCTATCTATGAACTCACCGTTTCAGCACCACTCCTAATAGTTACTTGTCAAACCATTCTAGTCTTCATTAGACAAAGTGTCTCATAGGGTCGGGTACTTTGCGACAAACATTTCTGTGAAACCTTCTTTCTGCTTTTACTTTTTCACTTCTTTCCTCACTACACTTTCTATCACCAATTTTAATCACCTTCTGCATACCTCACATTAGGCAAAATCCAAAGAAAAAAACGCCCTGTTAATCATTTATTAATCACTCTATAAATAAAACAGTTAATTTAGTGATGGTACAAATAATATGTGGGAAATTCTTGAACCCTCCACCTGCTTATAATAATGTCAATAAAGAGGAGCTTCGGCCGCTCTGAAATGCCACATAAATACCACACAAAGTGGCCCTTTTTCCCTCTCTTTTTCTCTTTTTCCATATGCTTCATCTCTCTAAGCTAATCTCACAGCTTCGACTAGGAGACATCATCATTATATGCCTAGGCCCAATTAGAATACTGTACAAAGAATTTTAGAAGAATATAAGCGTTAAGGAAGTGAGTGATTCACTGACTTGTCCACCGACTACAGTGTATAGTTGCTCAGTACCTTAATGAGCACTACAATGCTGACTACATAATGCATTAAAAAGGTAGCTTATGTGGCGCCTTATATGGAATCAAATAAAAGATGACTACTCTGAAGTAATGTACGACTGAGATTTCACATCAGTAGAGGAAAACGACACACCAAGAGGTTTAGAATTTTTTCCCTTTGGTTAGCTTATGGGATGTCAATGTCTGCATCAGATATTGAGCCAAAAATGGTTAAAAGAATTCATCTTTGTGAAAGTTTTTCTAAAGAAATGAGTTTGCTGTGAGTTTTATAAATTTCCTTGAAACATTTAAAGAAAAGTTTTAGTTGTAAAAGGAGAGTTTTTTGAACAATAGAACAAAGTTTCTTGTTTGCTGCCCTGGAATTCTGAGTACATATTTTCCTCTGTCAATTTTTGTTTATGACCATTCTCTGCATTCTTTGATCAAGATGTGAAATGTTGGAATTCCATCACATATAACGAACAAAGTCACACGTTCTTCTCTGACAAAATGTGTGATCAACGATTGGTGCAGAATCATATTTAGCGCTCCCTCGTTACATATATTTAATATTGAAGTGTACCTTGGGAAAACCATGTGAATGCAAGTGGAATTGATATTTATGTATTCCCTCTTTCTCTACTCTTTCAACCAATATTTTCTTGCGTGATATTGAAACTTCAACTGAAGTTTAGAATTCAACCCTCCTTAATTAAATTAATTAGGCCATAACTCTGCATGATGGACTCTCTCACTCACACTGCACACTCATCCACCATTCACCCATGCTTTCCTTACATATCGACTATTGACCGATTTCTCACCTAGAATTGCCTTCCATTACATTAATAATAACCCCACGCTACTGGTTTTTGTTTGCTCTTGAAATAGTGAACTACATTTTTCTGTCTGCACCATGTTTTGCCTTAATTTGTTTCCTTAGAAACGTAGACACATGCCAACTTTTCAGTAGCTATAAACCATTTCTCGTAGTTTTGTCGCAAATTGATGTTTCATGCCAATCAAAACAAGTGGAAGCCACGGTTGTCTGGTAACAGTTTTCTCAAATAAAACATCTGTCTCCATCCCTTCCACCAATTAAGAAAGAAGGATGATCATCTGTCTAAATACATGAAAAAATTAATGCACAGTGACTGACAAACTCAAAAGATAAACAGAAACCTTTTAAGGCATTATTAATTAGGACTTTCTAATTCTTCCAAACTTGGTTGTACAATGGTCCATAATGTTCATTAAACTGGTGACTATAATTAAATTAATTAATCCCTCGAAACTGTCCATGAGTTAGTTAGAGGGGTCTTTTCATTTTTCACTCAAACAACAGAAGAAGAAACATATTTGGCATTTTGTGTTTATAGTTGCTACCCAAACATATCTTGATTCTTGACCTTCAACTAACTTGTGTAAAGTACATTGCTGAATGTTTCTGGATGTAAGAGACATGAGTTTTGGTTTCACTGAGGTTGTGTAATTTAATGTGCGGACCAGTGAGCTGTAGTGAGAGTGACTCACGGGGAACCAGATTCTCAGTATGCTTCCCATTGTCTATGTTGCTGATGTTAGTGAGTATGTGAGAGATAAGAAAAGAAAAGGATTTAAAAATTCAGAGCTACAAATAAAGAGGTTCCTAGCAAAATGGTAGGCAGGTATCATTGCCAGAGTCCCCAAAAAGGAGAAACTAGAGAAACACTGTGAAAGAAAGACAACATCCGTTTTGGTGCCAATGAAGCCTTGAATCATAGTCCCTAATGTCTTACAAAGGTTTATGAGCTACATCCCCTAGGAAGGGTAGCATACTCTGTCTTAGCTCAAATCAATTATGTTTTGTTGGTACTAATCATTTTGGTTGAGGACATATGTTCTGTAAGTTACTTAAGCTATGTTTTCCTTTCAATTATAATTGTTGAGTTTTAACTGTAAAGCTAGGTAACAAAGATCTTAGATGCATTAATAATATTTTTTTAAAAAAAAGTAGTTATTCTTGTGAGAATAGCACTGATGGAAATAGTATATTCAGAATTTCTTAAAGGGTGTCAGTGGTACAACTTTTTTCAATGAAAATAAGCCATTAGCTATGAATGACTAAAACAGCAAAATATAGCTTTTTCCTAGTTCATACAATTAACTGCAAAATGTAGCTTTTTCATGATTAATTTTCCTTCTCCTTAATAACTCCCCAATGTTTCCTTCTCACCAAGGATAGTTAAAAGTGATGGTTAGCATTTTGACCAGCCACTCGATTACGTAGGGGTGCACCACAGTAACAACGGAACATAAAGACAATGATTATAATCTACAAAAGTGGAAGAAGCTAAGACCTTTTATGATAAGAAGAATTTGGTGAGCATAGAGCATATGATAAGTGTCCTTGATTAAGGTAGTTACGTTGGTAAACATTATTAGTGGTTGTTCTTTTTTCTGGATGGGGTTCACCTAATTAACGACAACCCAAAAGATTGAGCCCCCAATACCATGGACAAACCATGACACGCATGCATCTCATGAGTTTGTGCTTAAACATGTAGTGAACAATGCCAGGTCTGCGCGTGCCAATTGGGTTGGGGACCTTCCTACTACCAATTCAACTCTCACTAATGCAAATTCATGTAACTTCTTGAAAGACATATATAAAAGGTCTTAAAGAATGATAAACTTTAATTTTAGTAAAACAATTAGATTAATCTTTTAAATTACAAAAATTAAACTGTCAGTGTCATTGACATAAATTAGAATATTCAATTAATTAAAATATTTAAAAACTAGTCAAACACTGTTTGTTCAAAATACTTAGTAAGAGTTATTATCAAAGATATGTGAAAAGCTGGAAAGTTTTATCCTTTTAAATTGATTTCAATTGGGTTGAATCAAAGTATGGTACACTTTCAAATACTGAGGATTTCAGGTAAACATTCATAAAATATGCATATTATACTTATCTGCTATCTCTCTAGTTTGGTATAAGTAGATAGAACATTGTTTTCAAAGTTGCAGCTAATGAAAATAGGCTCGAGGATGGTTATAGATTGGATTGAAGAGTATAGAAATTTTGCTATGAAAGGGAATATGGAAAAATGTGGTAGCAGGTGAGTCATAATAGAACATCTTGGGAAGTGGGAAAGCAAGAGCCTTAAAGCAAATAGAGAACCCAAATCAATCGTAATTCCTATCAGTCCTGAGACACAAAGTAAAGAATAACAGAAATCATCAGTCCCATTTTGCCCCAAAAAACTAACACCACAAAAGCTAAAGTTTCAGTTCTTGTATTGGAGACCGGAAACATGTCCTCTTATATCTCTCTGACTTCGATATTTCTTCCTCTCTTTCCCTCCCACCAAACTGTCTTAGGACCAATTTGGATACCTTCAAGTACATCTTGTGTCTAAATTTTTAACCTTTTCTGATACAAGGTTACTTCTCCAATTTTTTACTTCAAAATAGAAAGCCCTACCACCATTTGTTCTGCAGTTAAAGATAAAAACGAAACTACCCTCATGATTGACCACTACAAAATGACATAATTTTCAATAACCCATTTCTTATATTTCAAAAATGCAGTTTCTTTCCAATGCATTCTTGTAACCTGAAAAGAAAATCTTTACTTTTTCACTTCGAACAATAAAAGAAAGTAACATTAACTCTTAATTTTAATTTTCCAATGTTAAAAAAGTCAACAGTTTGGTCCTTTCACCATAAACACTAATATTAAAGAACTAATTTAATGTTAAAATTGACATTAAACCACCATTTTAATGAACCTATTAGTATTGATTGTATTGAACAACCAAACTAATGGACACCGTGATAATTACATTCCTTAAAGACCAAAATGGTAACTAAAGGAAAAACTGTGTAAAAAAACACACACACAACTTTTTTAAATGAGCCATGATTCATGCACCCCTCTTGCACTCGGACTTTCTTGGAGTTTTTAAATTGGGCATGATTTCATCACTACTCTGGCATTTATAAGTACTCCACCCCACATGGTCAAAACTTCAAGAAACCCCAACCCTGTGCATTTTTATTTTAATCAGGTAGCACCTGGAAGTTGTAGTTGTCAGTAAAAAAACCCGAGTTTCACAAGTCTTGAGCACTAAACTCCAAGAGAGAGTCAGAGCGAGAATAGAAGGAAGTTGTTGTGTGCTTCCAAGACATTGAAGATGGTGAAGGAGTAATTAGCCTTTCTTAGAATACTCGCCATGTGTTGGATAGATTTGGTGGGAGACGTGTTTCCCCTGGAAGAATCAAAGCCTGGGAACACACACTTTTGTTTTGTTCGTGCAAGAACAAGAAGACAAGGCCAATGTGAACAAACTCACTCGGATTTGTCAATAGAAACAAGGAAGACAGATCTCTCAAGCATGAATTTTAGCTTGTGTTTGAGCTCCCCGATCATTTCCATACTTGTACATTTCCTTCTTGTTGCTTCTTTGCTTTGTCCTGTTTGTTCCTCAGAAATGGGCAACGCCCCAGTTGCCAACCAGACTTTTAAGCCGCAAGAAGAGGTTCACAAGATGAACATCATAAGAACTCGTCTTCAGCAAATCAACAAGCCCCCTGTTAAGACAATTCAGGTGAGCCAAAGCTTCTTGCTTTTCACGTCCCTTGTTTTCTCCCCTGTTTTTTTACCGTAACACGGTGAACTTCTTTTCGCTGCCACCAGAGTCCTGACGGTGATGTAATAGACTGTGTGGTGTCTCATCAGCAACCAGCTTTTGATCATCCTATGTTGAAGGGACACAAACCACTGGTAATTGTCAATTGTCTCAGACATTTTCTTACAGTTTCTTTTTTTTTTTTAAATTTGAATATATTATTTGATGTGAGGAGAAATTTGAATTACATAGAATTTATTATTTGAAGTTAGGGAGAAATTTGAATTAAAGTGCAGATGTTCGTTCATATCATGTGCAGGATCCTCCCGAAAGGCCTAAAGGTCATAACCAAAGGGACCTATTGAGTGAGAATTTTCAGCTATGGACCATGTCAGGGGAGTCATGTCCAGAAGGTACAATTCCAATTAGAAGAACAAAAGAAGAAGACATGTTAAGAGCTAGTTCTGTAAGCAGATTTGGAAGGAAAATAAGCAGGCGTGTTAGAAGGGACACCAGCAGCAATGGCCACGAGGTATGTACTGAAACTTTCTTTTCTTTTCTTTACCTTTCTTTTTTTCTTTTTTCCAAACCAAAGGAAGGCATTAACAAACAACTCTAGCAGAAACTATTAAGGCAAGCACATGGGAGTTAAATGTTTTGTTTTTCACCATGCTTCACAATGAAGCTAAGAATAGCGATGAAAGCACCAAAAAATAATTTTGATTAGCTGGATTTTTATTCCTTTCTTCCGACTGTGAAACTTCAACCTTTTCCTTTTTATGGCAATCACAGAATTCCATGGTTCCTCAGCTAGTAATGTTTCACTTACTCCAAAGTAAGTGGTCTTTTCATCCTTGTGTATGTTGCAGCTAACTTTACCCTGTATACAAAAATTTAACCAAACCACTCAACATCAAGTTTAAACCCTCATTATCTTGCATAGAAAAGTAACAATAAAAAACCTAGCTTCCTCTAGCAACTCTTCAAACTGACCTAACAAATAGTTTCTTTGTGACATACCTGCAAACCTAACAATAGTATTTGTTGGTGCACTGCACAGCATGCAGTTGGGTATGTGAGTGGAGAACAGTACTATGGAGCAAAGGCTAGCATAAACGTGTGGGCACCCCGTGTGGCAAATCAGGATGAATTCAGCCTGTCCCAAATGTGGGTCATATCTGGTTCATTTGGGGATGATCTCAACACTATTGAAGCTGGTTGGCAGGCAAGTTTCAATTCACCCATTACTGCACCTTAATTAATCAACTCTTTCTTTACACAAACATACTCATTTTCCTTCAATAATTTCTACCACTGTATCCTTTTTGGTTACCAATAGCATTCAAAACACAGATACCATGCTCAACTACCTACCATTCATTTTCATCGCTGAATTTAATATTATGCTTTGGACAACCAAACTTATTTCAATTAATTTTGCTGCAGGTCAGCCCCGAGCTCTATGGGGACAGATACCCCAGATTCTTTACTTATTGGACGGTAAGAAAACTCATTCAAGCAAAATGGGTGCACAGTTATACTATATGTTTATTGTGATCCTTGCTTAAACTCCAAGGCAGATCATGTATTAATAAGCTATGATGTTTCTAGTCAAACAGATTATTTCATTTATTATAATGTTAAATCATGGATACAGATTATAATTTAAAGGACAAAATTGAGCATGGTTCATACTACAGTTGTTATTGTTATTAAAAAGAATGAAACTGATGAAAAATATTGGTATTTATTATTTACAGAGTGATGCATATCAAGCAACTGGATGCTACAATTTACTGTGCTCAGGTTTTGTTCAAACTAACAATAGAATTGCAATTGGGGCTGCAATTTCTCCAACTTCTTCCTATGCCGGTGGGCAATTTGATATTAGTTTGCTGATTTGGAAGGTAATTTGGTTTTTCTTTACGAAATTGATCACAAAAAATGATTATTCATTGAGAACTTGGTGTAGAAGTCTCCATTTATTTCTTTTTGGGTTACTTTATGTTAATTTTTGTTTTGGTGATTATGCGCTGTTTTTGTTGTTGACTGAAAAAGTTAAACTTTGTCATATAAAACGGATTAAGCCATTTAGGGTTTGTTTATATCCTAGTTTAGGTTAATCTTTTATGTGGCATACGTGATGGGTTGAGGGTGGGTCCCTGTTAAATGATATAAAAGATTTTATGACAGAACACTGTGCCTACCGTTCGATTTGAATACTTTTGTGGTTCAGAAAAGTCTTCGAATTTCTTAGTCAAAATCCCAAACGAGCCAAAAAAAAAAAGTTAATAAAATGGATTTAAAAATAGTCAATGGTGGGGTCTCCATTATTTGGGAAGTCTCGCAAATGCCATCGAATTTTGTGATATAGACTGGTAGAAGAAGCAAGGGAAGATTAATTTAAGCTTTTGATGGTAATACGATAATTAATTATTTTAAATTTTATAAAAGTGAAGATATAGTAGCTAAAAAAAGAGGAAGAATAAAGTGATGGTGCACAAAGTTTTGTCCTATGTCATGTCTCAGTTAACATGCCACTTTACTCACTTTAATACTTTGGGACATTACACGCATGCACTGTGAATTCTAATAATGAACTGTATTTCCTCTTCTTTTCAAGATTCTCTTCACTTTTTTTTTTTATCTTGGTTTTACTATTATTCTAACAAAACCCTAAAAATTGGCTTATTTATTCCCCCAACATTCACGACCTTTCTTTTCCCCTCTTTTTGACCCGTTTCGCTTACCAATCTGGCTAACATGTTGCTATTCATAATTATGTCTATCTTTGAGTAGTTTGCAACAAAAGGTGACATTGAAGGTTTGGTGTAATGCTTCATTTTTCGTGTACAGGATCCAAAGCATGGGAATTGGTGGCTTGAATTCGGATCCGGAATCTTAGTCGGGTATTGGCCATCGTTCTTGTTCACACACCTGAGGGATCATGCAAGCATGGTGCAATTTGGTGGAGAAGTGGTGAATTCAAGGCAATCAGGCTCTCACACTTCAACCCAAATGGGTAGTGGTCATTTTGCAAGTGAAGGGTTTGGAAAAGCTTCATACTTTAGGAATATGCAAGTTGTGGATTGGGACAACAACTTGGTACCCTTGTCAAATCTTAGGGTTCTAGCAGATCACCCCAATTGCTATGACATTCAAGGAGGGATTAATAATGTTTGGGGGAATTACTTTTACTATGGTGGACCTGGGAGAAATGTGAGATGTCCCTAAGGGGATGAATTTTTTTTAATTTTTTTTTCTTTAATTTTATATTTGGTCATTTTTGGGTTTGGGTGACATTGGTTTTCCTTCTCAAGGGCATGCAAGAAGCTTGGGTCATGGGGTCATTTATTCTTATATTTAATTTACATTTGTTTGTTAATCAACGATTTTTTTTTTATTTTGACTAACCAGTCACCCATTGATTATACCATTACCACCTGGACTCCTATGTAAATCTTTAAAGAGAAATAGTAAATATATTTCTTCGTTTTTCTATTCCATTCTATCCCTTTTTCTTTTTTTATTTCCTCATTTTATTTACTGGTTAAAATCACGATTGTTTCTTCTCTAGTTTTCTTCTTCCTCTAATTTGAACTATGTCTTGGTCTTGATTAAAACTATTCTCAACGTTTGTTTTATGATAATACATTTCTAGAAATATTATTAATGGAGATGTTATTTTGAAAATTAAATGAAGAAATGTTTGGTTAGATTTTAACATTACTAAATGTATTGTAGGATCGTTCGATTAACAGAATTTATTTGTTTAAGTCAATATATACATTGTATATATCGTATGATCGTTTAATCAGTAGTTAACTAGATAATCAAACTTTCATAACTTTTTACTATAAATTACTTTTTGCCAATAATCTCACACGAATACTAAAATAAATATTTGGATTGTTATATAGTTTGAAAGTTATTTGAAGTTTAATATTAAAAAGTTTAAAGAATTTATTTGTTTAAGTCAATATATACATTGTATATATCGTATGATCGTTTAATCAGTAGTTAACTAGATAATCAAACTTTCATAACTTTTTACTATAAATTACTTTTTGCCAATAATCTCACACGAATACTAAAATAAATATTTGGATTGTTATATAGTTTGAAAGTTATTTGAAGTTTAATATTAAAAAGTTTAAATAATTGTTGTTGCAGGAAATTTTTAATTAGAAGTATTTAGTATAGGAAATTTAAAAGTTTGCTTTGCTGTTAGTTGCAGCTTCACAGTCAAAGTTCGGAAATAGTCAACAGAGATCTTGGACTTAACGTTATCGAAGAGTAGTTGCACTGTTTTTATTTTATTTTGTCAAGCATTTCAATATAATGGCGTAGGGATGTAACGAGGTTGTATTACTTGATAACAAACTATTAAATTTTATTTTATACCTTCCATTATAGTTGAGTTGAATAATAAATTTATGAATAGGTGAATCTCACCTCATACAATAATATATAATAAAAAATATTATTTATCTAATAATTTTATTGTAAAAGATAACTTTATGTCTACCACATTATATAAGTATTTTAATGTATATATATATATATATATATATATATATATATATATATATATATATTAATATAATAAATGAATATATCTTTGATATTGTTTAAATTTATCTTTATTTGAACGTAAAATGCTTGTATTAATTAAGTATTTATATGTATATAAATAATATTTGATTTTTCAAAATTATACATGTGAATAATATTTAATTTTTAAATTGAATATAAAAATGGATATATATCCCGTATCTTTAAATATTAAATTAGTTTTAAAACTATTATGTAATTTAAAAATTTATATTATTTTTTTCTTTAATCATTAATTATTATAATTATTTTTAAGACATATATTTAAACATTTTTATTCTCTTGTATAATTATTTAAGATTTATTAATTATTATTATTAATCACTTATTTGGTAATTATATTGTAAGCACCTTAATTAGCATATACATTATTACTAGCTATATCGTTACATAACTAATAACACACCATATCCTTTAAACACAACAAATATATAAATATGTACATTGTATATGAATTTTTTTTCAAAAATAAACTAACTTGACTTAACGAAGAAGAAGTTGTACCCGATATAAAAGTACATAATTAAAATATACAATTTATTTATATTTTTACATAAATATAACTAAAGAAAACTTTACAAATTCACTTATTTTTCTCATTACCGGATCATTTATTCACGTATAATATTTCATTAAAAATCATAACAACACCAAAGCAAAAGGTAAACTAATGAAAATTACATAATTAAAATTGTCCTCGAAAAATAAGCCAATAGTTCAAACATACAAGTTTAATCTTCTACTCTTTTATCAAACTTTATCCATCTTTATCAAAAATTCGATTCAACAACAATAGTTATCTTTCAAACAAAATTTATTTTCAACTCTAGATTATTTGTTAACAATAAGAAGCAAATATGTATCATATAATACAATCCTTAGGACTCAAAAATCACAACACAACCCTCACGACTAGATCTCATAGCTCAAATAACATTTAAATCTATTTTTAGAAGATCAAGCAAACTCAAAAAATCTACACCTAACATATCTTACTCTTACCGCTCAGATTATATATATATATATATATATATATATATATGGGACATAAATTCCTGTTGAGTATGACCATGGTAAGTTTTTCACATCTGTTAGGTCTGATTTTATCTTATATTGAAGCTCCAGATGCCAAGAACCTCCTTTGACTCCCATCACTAGATATTTGCCTCTACACGAGTATGATAATATTATAATCAAGATAGTTTCTACAAAATTTCTCTCAATACACCACCTAACATCACATCACATCAACTTAGTATTCCCTTCTTAGGAGTCACTACATTCACAATATTCACACAAAATTCATATTTCACTCCTAATACCTTTAATTAATTTAAAACACATTGAAAACAAAATATTTTTAAAACACATTGAAAACAAAATATTTTTTCTCAAACTTCTACCTAGCAAGATCTCACTATCGCCTAGTGTTGAGACTTTGACAAGTGTATTAAATCGTTTCGAGCAATAAATCGGTGACACTGGATATCGTTTCCTAAGAGACCCGTGTCACCAAACAATCATATAATTTTTAACTAACTTAGACTAAAGAATGATTCCATATTTTGGGGTTTTATGCAATTAAAGTAAAGATGAAACATAAATGGTAAAAGTGATATTTGATAACTCAAACACTTGGAAATGGATAATATTAGAAATGATATGGAATGATATTGTTGGGGGATGATTTCACCTACTTCACTCTTATGCATGGAAAATCACTTCATCTTCATTAATATGTCAATGTCAATCTATTAATTTACTCAAACTCAATCCCTTGGTAGAGAGAGCCTAGACTTCCTTATTAGACTTCAATCCCTTGAAAAACCTAACAATTATTTTCGCATTAAGAATTGAGATTCAAGACAACCAAAGGTCTTAGTTTTATCCCTAGATATTATTTCCTATAGGTGTTTAATATCCAGTTCCAAATTCACACAATATTTCCCAATATCAAACAAACCCCAAAATCATGCCATGGTTGATCAAATCATAACAAGCTTTAAGTGAAGGAATTAAACATTAACAATCAATGAAAGACACATATAATCATTCAAATCAACTATAATTTACATAAGAGATCTGTGGTCACATTAGTCCCTAACAAGAATGAAATTAGCTTTTCATTGTCATAGAGAGCTTGAGCTTACAAATGGTGGAAATGGAAGAAGATGAAGACCCAAGGATGAAGAAGGGTTGTTCCCACAGCTCCGAGCTCGCTTCCAAGTGCTCCAATAGAGAGAAATCGTGTTTTGGTGCCCAAAGATATCGACCCATTCGCGTTTTATGGTTAAATAAGCTTAATCTGTCACATCAGCAAAAGTTGCGCTCAGTCAAAAAAGTGGCACTCAAGCGCCCCTAGGTAGAGGGCGCGAGCCCCTAGGCAGAGGACGCAAGCTAGAAATGGTGTAATGCGCTCCAACGGCCATGGAAAAAGGGCGTTCGTGCACGACTTCAGCAGAGTCATGATTCTTCAGTTTTGTTGTTCTTCTTGCTTTCTTTGGGTTCCAGTGCCTTCATTAGATTTAGAGACTTCTTCCAACTGACTTAAGCATATAAAAGTAGGGCTTAATGATCAATTTATCTCATTAAAACTTAAGATGCAACCACTTAATAAACTAAAAGAAAACTAGGATTTACAAGACAAAAAACCAAGAAAGAGTTGACATTTTCTCTTAATTCAATATTGAAATCATGGTAAAATATGTCATTATCACCTAGCAAAAATAAAATCAGGGCTCCCTAGAACTAAAGTTCCAAGTCGCACCCAACGACAACAATTCGGCACCCACTACCCTTTTGTGCGTCCAACGATGGTGATTTGGTGTCCAACACTCAACCCTTAGAACTTTTGTAATTTATTTTATAGTTGGCACACAACAATATATAATTGGTGCTCATGCTCCATTCCCTTAAGCTTACTCAAATTTATTTTTCCTTTAGGACCAACAATTTTAAAATCATGTTCAACGACATTACATAACTTCAAAAATTTCAATGTATACGAGATTGCTCCTATGGTGTATCTAAGTTATTTTACTTCTTGTATCCAAATAAACTCATTAAATTCAAAATCAAAATAGATACCACCACTACATTAGTTTGTACACCATACTTAAATCCACACATTTTATTCATTCATGTTTCTCTATGGCAATCAATGAAGTTCAACTTAATAAAAACAGCCTAATGACTTTCACAACTCAGTTTAATATCACAATATATTCATAATCATAAAATTTAAAAAGAAGTCTAAACTTTTATTAGCTTTTCTTATCTCAAAATAATGAGTTAAATTATTGTAGCCTAAGAGACATTGTTATCTCTTTTAAATACCTAATGTAAAGTATTCAAATAGAGTTAAATTTCAGTATAAAATAGATTAAATTGAAAGCATCACTACTAATTTTTTTTACTAAGATCATGACAAAAGCACTACGAAAACTAAGATTTAATAGAATATATAGAACCTTAGTCGGTTTAAAAATTCAATTTATTCAAAATTCTTCTTAAACCTCCATTTATTCAATGGTCCATTTCAATTGATGTCTGAAATAGAATTAGAAGTGAATAGAAGAATAAATTGAAAGAAATAGGTTGAGGTAAAAAGGTTTGGATGGAAGTTGGCGTGAAAGGAATATGAACACGAGAGATGCAGTTTCCTACGTTTCTATCCAAAACTCCTTTGTATATAATATTATTATATTCTTTTATTTCAAACATCTCACATATATAATTATAATTTTTTTAATTTACTATTAGAGAAAAAAATGTGTATTCCTAATTACTAATGGCAAATAATAATAAATAAAATCGTTATAGATAATCATACTTATTAAATAATAACTGTTTATATGCATATTCATTAGAATTTGATGTAAAATATAGTAAAGTCTGTTTTACATATTAATTATTTTACAATTTTCTTTTTTTAATCTTTCTCCCTTCTGTTTAAACTGTAATAAATATTTATGATATTAATAAAACATTATCTATATGTAATGTTAGGGGTGACCGAGGAACAATCATGTAGTGTAGTTTACAATGATATACTTAATTTGTAGACATCATACTCACTGATTATAATATTCAATGTTATGTTTTTACTGATAAAAAATAGTGTACGTTATATGTACGCCATGTTGAATGAATATGAAAGTATGCGAAATAAAAGCAGCTATTAATCATGTGGGAAGGGGCATAAAGAAAATATTGACTGAATGACAAATAGGGGTTTATATGATAAAAGACCATTGACTAAATAGACAAAGGAGTAAATGACCTCTGCAGCAGCATATTAATCAAATTGAACCCAAAGTCAATACATATGAAGATGTAGGGACTATATTGATGGATCTGGGCGGGATAGAGTATTATGTCCCACTACCATTCCATCCCTAATTCTCAATATGCTATTTTCAATATAATATTTTTTTATTTAACACAAAGTTAGGGTATTTTTAGTGTGAAACTATCTATTATTTTAGTATATTTAGAGATTAGGCCTAATAATATTTTTGGTTTCTATTTATAGAATTGATTTATTGTTTTCATTATTATTTTTTATTTTTTATATTTTTAAAAAGACAGTTTTGATGTTACTATTTCCATTTTATTTATAAAATTGATTCTTGAACTCTCAATCCGATCCACAAGTTTTAATCTCGACTAACATAGATCAAGGCAAAAAAAACTAATATAATCAAAAGTCCTCGAAAAAAAACTCCTCAAAGTTACACTAGCTTCAAAATCTTTATGGGCTAAAGTGAATCCATAGGCCAATCTATGTGAGTTGGTCGATGATAAAGATAAATAAGGTTGGATCAAACCTTGGTTAACTCGTCTCTATCCTTGGTGCAAGCCAACTTTGCTAGACCTTTCAGGTTGCACCGACTTGGATTGACTCTTTGTCCTAGTTGACTCAGACTGTTTTTCAACTTAAATTACTAAGTTTAACATTCGACTTGTGCTGACTTGACTTGAACTTCGATCCAGGCTGACTAATTTCAATCTTTGGCAGAGCTCAACTTGTCTCAAGCTGTAACTAGAGATGACTAGTTTTGACCTTCGACATAAATTGAATCGACTCAATTATCAGCCTATAATGACTCGATTCAAATATGAATATGAGCTTACATAGCTCGACTATGATAATAAAAATATAATGTATTCTACATATATTTTTAGTCTTATAAATAGGAAAACCATAGTATACTTTAATAATAACTTGGAAGTGTAAATAGTACTATATTTAACTTTAAAAGTGTGCTTGGATGATGTAATTTGAGAAAATAAATAATTTATTTAGTAAATTTAAAATTATTCGAAATAAAATGAGTTGTTTGAATGAGAAAATCAAATTGAAGTTAANTATATATATATATATATATATATATATGGGACATAAATTCCTGTTGAGTATGACCATGGTAAGTTTTTCACATCTGTTAGGTCTGATTTTATCTTATATTGAAGCTCCAGATGCCAAGAACCTCCTTTGACTCCCATCACTAGATATTTGCCTCTACACGAGTATGATAATATTATAATCAAGATAGTTTCTACAAAATTTCTCTCAATACACCACCTAACATCACATCACATCAACTTAGTATTCCCTTCTTAGGAGTCACTACATTCACAATATTCACACAAAATTCATATTTCACTCCTAATACCTTTAATTAATTTAAAACACATTGAAAACAAAATATTTTTAAAACACATTGAAAACAAAATATTTTTTCTCAAACTTCTACCTAGCAAGATCTCACTATCGCCTAGTGTTGAGACTTTGACAAGTGTATTAAATCGTTTCGAGCAATAAATCGGTGACACTGGATATCGTTTCCTAAGAGACCCGTGTCACCAAACAATCATATAATTTTTAACTAACTTAGACTAAAGAATGATTCCATATTTTGGGGTTTTATGCAATTAAAGTAAAGATGAAACATAAATGGTAAAAGTGATATTTGATAACTCAAACACTTGGAAATGGATAATATTAGAAATGATATGGAATGATATTGTTGGGGGATGATTTCACCTACTTCACTCTTATGCATGGAAAATCACTTCATCTTCATTAATATGTCAATGTCAATCTATTAATTTACTCAAACTCAATCCCTTGGTAGAGAGAGCCTAGACTTCCTTATTAGACTTCAATCCCTTGAAAAACCTAACAATTATTTTCGCATTAAGAATTGAGATTCAAGACAACCAAAGGTCTTAGTTTTATCCCTAGATATTATTTCCTATAGGTGTTTAATATCCAGTTCCAAATTCACACAATATTTCCCAATATCAAACAAACCCCAAAATCATGCCATGGTTGATCAAATCATAACAAGCTTTAAGTGAAGGAATTAAACATTAACAATCAATGAAAGACACATATAATCATTCAAATCAACTATAATTTACATAAGAGATCTGTGGTCACATTAGTCCCTAACAAGAATGAAATTAGCTTTTCATTGTCATAGAGAGCTTGAGCTTACAAATGGTGGAAATGGAAGAAGATGAAGACCCAAGGATGAAGAAGGGTTGTTCCCACAGCTCCGAGCTCGCTTCCAAGTGCTCCAATAGAGAGAAATCGTGTTTTGGTGCCCAAAGATATCGACCCATTCGCGTTTTATGGTTAAATAAGCTTAATCTGTCACATCAGCAAAAGTTGCGCTCAGTCAAAAAAGTGGCACTCAAGCGCCCCTAGGTAGAGGGCGCGAGCCCCTAGGCAGAGGACGCAAGCTAGAAATGGTGTAATGCGCTCCAACGGCCATGGAAAAAGGGCGTTCGTGCACGACTTCAGCAGAGTCATGATTCTTCAGTTTTGTTGTTCTTCTTGCTTTCTTTGGGTTCCAGTGCCTTCATTAGATTTAGAGACTTCTTCCAACTGACTTAAGCATATAAAAGTAGGGCTTAATGATCAATTTATCTCATTAAAACTTAAGATGCAACCACTTAATAAACTAAAAGAAAACTAGGATTTACAAGACAAAAAACCAAGAAAGAGTTGACATTTTCTCTTAATTCAATATTGAAATCATGGTAAAATATGTCATTATCACCTAGCAAAAATAAAATCAGGGCTCCCTAGAACTAAAGTTCCAAGTCGCACCCAACGACAACAATTCGGCACCCACTACCCTTTTGTGCGTCCAACGATGGTGATTTGGTGTCCAACACTCAACCCTTAGAACTTTTGTAATTTATTTTATAGTTGGCACACAACAATATATAATTGGTGCTCATGCTCCATTCCCTTAAGCTTACTCAAATTTATTTTTCCTTTAGGACCAACAATTTTAAAATCATGTTCAACGACATTACATAACTTCAAAAATTTCAATGTATACGAGATTGCTCCTATGGTGTATCTAAGTTATTTTACTTCTTGTATCCAAATAAACTCATTAAATTCAAAATCAAAATAGATACCACCACTACATTAGTTTGTACACCATACTTAAATCCACACATTTTATTCATTCATGTTTCTCTATGGCAATCAATGAAGTTCAACTTAATAAAAACAGCCTAATGACTTTCACAACTCAGTTTAATATCACAATATATTCATAATCATAAAATTTAAAAAGAAGTCTAAACTTTTATTAGCTTTTCTTATCTCAAAATAATGAGTTAAATTATTGTAGCCTAAGAGACATTGTTATCTCTTTTAAATACCTAATGTAAAGTATTCAAATAGAGTTAAATTTCAGTATAAAATAGATTAAATTGAAATCATCACTACTAATTTTTTTTACTAAGATCATGACAAAAGCACTACGAAAACTAAGATTTAATAGAATATATAGAACCTTAGTCGGTTTAAAAATTCAATTTATTCAAAATTCTTCTTAAACCTCCATTTATTCAATGGTCCATTTCAATTGATGTCTGAAATAGAATTAGAAGTGAATAGAAGAATAAATTGAAAGAAATAGGTTGAGGTAAAAAGGTTTGGATGGAAGTTGGCGTGAAAGGAATATGAACACGAGAGGTGCAGTTTCCTACGTTTCTATCCAAAACTCCTTTGTATATAATATTATTATATTCTTTTATTTCAAACATCTCACATATATAATTATAATTTTTTTAATTTACTATTAGAGAAAAAATGTGTATTCCTAATTACTAATGGCAAATAATAATAAATAAAATCGTTGTATCATGAGAACACATCTTATATTTGGCTGATTTGATAATCATACTTATTAAATAATAACTGTTTATATACATATTCATTAGACTTTGATGTAAAATATAGTAAATTCTGTTTTACATATTATTTTACAATTTTCTTTTTTTAATCTTTCTCCCTTCTGTTTAAACTGTAATAAATATTTATGATATTAATAAAACATTATCTATATGTAATGTTAGGGGTGACCGAGGAACAATCATGTAGTGTAGTTTACAATGATATACTTAATTTGTAGACATCATACTCACTGATTATAATATTCAATGTTATGTTTTTACTGATAAAAAATAGTGTACGTTATATGTACGCCATGTTGAATGAATATGAAAGTATGCGAAATAAAAGCAGCTATTAATCATGTGGGAAGGGGCATAAAGAAAATATTGACTGAATGACAAATAGGGGTTTATATGATAAAAGACCATTGACTAAATAGACAAAGGAGTAAATGACCTCTGCAGCAGCATATTAATCAAATTGAACCCAAAGTCAATACATATGAAGATGTAGGGACTATATTGATGGATCTGGGCGGGATAGAGTATTATGTCCCACTACCATTCCATCCCTAATTCTCAATATGCTATTTTCAATATAATATTTTTTTATTTAACACAAAGTTAGGGTATTTTTAGTGTGAAACTATCTATTATTTTAGTATATTTAGAGATTAGGCCTAATAATATTTTTGGTTTCTATTTATAGAATTGATTTATTGTTTTCATTATTATTTTTTATTTTTTATATTTTTAAAAAGACAGTTTTGATGTTACTATTTCCATTTTATTTATAAAATTGATTCTTGAACTCTCAATCCGATCCACAAGTTTTAATCTCGACTAACATAGATCAAGGCAAAAAAAACTAATATAATCAAAAGTCCTCGAAAAAAAACTCCTCAAAGTTACACTAGCTTCAAAATCTTTATGGGCTAAAGTGAATCCATAGGCCAATCTATGTGAGTTGGTCGATGATAAAGATAAATAAGGTTGGATCAAACCTTGGTTAACTCGTCTCTATCCTTGGTGCAAGCCAACTTTGCTAGACCTTTCAGGTTGCACCGACTTGGATTGACTCTTTGTCCTAGTTGACTCAGACTGTTTTTCAACTTAAATTACTAAGTTTAACATTCGACTTGTGCTGACTTGACTTGAACTTCGATCCAGGCTGACTAATTTCAATCTTTGGCAGAGCTCAACTTGTCTCAAGCTGTAACTAGAGATGACTAGTTTTGACCTTCGACATAAATTGAATCGACTCAATTATCAGCCTATAATGACTCGATTCAAATATGAATATGAGCTTACATAGCTCGACTATGATAATAAAAATATAATGTATTCTACATATATTTTTAGTCTTATAAATAGGAAAACCATAGTATACTTTAATAATAACTTGGAAGTGTAAATAGTACTATATTTAACTTTAAAAGTGTGCTTGGATGATGTAATTTGAGAAAATAAATAATTTATTTAGTAAATTTAAAATTATTCGAAATAAAATGAGTTGTTTGAATGAGAAAATCAAATTGAAGTTAAAAGTTATACTTAAAATTTTTAATAAGGTATTTCAAATAACTAAAATAATATAATTTGAAATCTCTTTAAAAAAAGAATGCAATTTCATAACTAGTCACTTCCTCTTTATCACATGTGTTAATTTGATCCATGACTCATGGACTAACTCAATCCAGTCCTAAATAATATTAAAAGGGTGATTCGACTTGATTTTTGATTCGAACTAATTCTACTTAATTTTTTTGTCCAAAACTTGGATTGATCTTTAGTCTCAACTAGTTTGGATAATCCTCAAGTCAAGGTTGACTTGTGTCAAATTGGTTCGACTTATGGTTTGAGTTGACTTAACCACTCTTGAGTCTTTGGATAAATTGTAGGGGATAGCTTGATATTGTTGTTTTCCTTATTCTAATGTTATTTTGACAAAATAGTTATAGCACTTTGACATAGTTATAGAACTAAATCAGCTGTTCATGTTATCACATAATAAACATATTATAACACTGATAGTTTAACAAAACAACAAAGGTTTTAAAGCATTGTACTTGTCCCTTTGAATTTAACTTGTCTTGTAAGAAATTGTTGGGGATGAATTTATTTTATTTCTTTGTAAAGCTGAGTTGGAAAACTTTGAACCAAAGTCTCTATACTGAGTTCAAAATCAATCGTTAAGTTGGCCTTTTGTACGTAGGTAGCAGATTTTGGACTTGCAAAGCTAGTAGAACGAACCAATGATGAAGAATTCATAGCAACAAGGCTTGTTGGAACACCGGGCTACCTTCCACCAGAGTAGGTTTTGTGCTTTCAGATCATAAGTACACTCTTCTGGTGTATTCAACAGAATCAATTTTCTTGCTACCATTATACACTTAAACCCATGTCAAAAAAAGTTACACACCAGTTGATTTTATTCTGACTTGATAGCTTTTTTGCTCCTTTTAGATCTGTTAAGGAGCTTCAAGTGACTATAAAAACAGATGTTTTTGCATTTGGGGTGGTTCTGTCAGAGTTGATAACAGGGAAACGTGCACTATTTCGTGACAACCAACAAGCCAACAATATGAAATCACTTGTTACAGTTGTAAGTCAAACTCGTTTTTCATAGAACATTAAAAAGAGAAATATAATTTAAGGTTGAGAGTATGTACTTTGAAAATGAAATCCAAAAAATCATTAGTTCACTTTTATTCAGAGAAATCTAACTCTGCTGTTGACTCAATACTCAAACATTTATTATTATTATTATTTGAAAGGCTTCTTTTCATCACATTCAGGTTAGCCAAATTTTCAGAAATAAATACCCAGAGAATGCTTTAGCAGACGCCGTAGATGGGAATCTTCAGCATAGCTATCCCATGGAAGATGTCTACAAGGTTAGATTTACCTGAAGTTCCTGTCTTCATTCACATACTCTATTTTAATTTAATATCTCTCTGTGAACTCAATGGAAATATATATAAAAAGATATTTGTTTTTTAAGAGACAGTAAATTAGTAATTGAGGATATCAGTTTCACTCCGGAGGACCAGTAAATTAGACCTTTTACAGGCTGTAATCTAAACTTTTCCTTTTAAGAAGTCAAGAGCACCCATGAAAAGTTTATGCTTCAAAGATAGTAGGGATTTTATTTATATTCTTATCATAAATTAGGATACATTTTCTGACTAAAACTTCATAGACAACTAGAAAAGGGGTGAAAACAAACAAACGAATGAGTTTCTTAATCACCTAAAACAAACAATCTTTTAAAGGCAAAAGCATTAGATGGGTTTTGTGTTTGAACAAAGATAATAATGATCACTCCTTTAACATAGTTATTGTGTGTCTTTAGAGATAATGTAGGGAATAGAATAATGCTGTTGCTTTCCTTAATCTAATATTATTCTGACATAAAATAGTTATATCACTTTTTCACAAGACTGTTTTTTCTGTTTTCATAATTTTGTTATTTGGAACATTTGGCTTTGCAGATGGCAGAAGTAGCTCATTGGTGTTTGTGGGAAGATCCAAACGACAGGCCTGTGATGAGGGAGATAGTTGTGGCATTGTCAGAGATTGTTATGTCATCCACAGAATGGGAAGCATCACTAGGTGGAGACAGCCAAGTCTTCAGCGGGGTTCTTGATGGAAGATGAACACCCTTTTCTTACTTCACAATTCTACACTAATGCTTCTTCTCTTTCTTGCATTCATCAAATCTCATGCTGCTACCATTTTCACTTTATGCTCTGCTGTATATATTCCTACACATTTTTAATACAAGATTATAGAATTAAATCGTGGAAGCTTCTGACTCAAGTTATGAAGTCCCACACTTGTCAGAACACTCACAAGGAGTTGCAGCTTAAGATATAAAATCTAAACACTTTTAACTTTCAAAGCATACCTTTCTCGGCCTTTTGGCTAAGATCAAGTGTAGTATCTGTTCTTATCAGTTTAATATCTGATATGTGGACTATTAGTTCACACGATATTAAATTAAATTTTTGAGGGAGAGAAACAATGAGTAGCTTGCTGCTTGGTTTCTTAAGCATCATCCTTGTTTTGCACTCTTGCAAGGCCTGGTGCATCCCACCCAAATTAGTTCAATTATTTATTCTTATATCTGGTAGTCTACATTTATGTTCTAGCTAAATGGTTGCTTATTTGTTCTCCATCAAAACTTGATGAGTAATTAATGTTCTATCCTATTAATTTTACTGGTTCTTCTTGGTTGTGTGGCTCAGCATTGGTTTCTTTGGCAATGTTATTATTTGGTTGAACAGTATTATAATTACCTTATTCATTGGATTTTCTGTTAAAATTAACATATCAAATGGATTTGTATGTCATTTGATGAAAGAGTGTTATTACCCATCAAAAAGTTTACATATTTTTATTAAGTTTGCTGCACATGGCTGAATTATATTTTTCATTTTTGGTGATGCTTTTCTCTGGTCGGAAAAAAATCTATAGGCCGTTTCTTGGGATTCCTATTACAGTGATTGGGTGAATTGGAAAGTTGACATAGTGGTGGAATGAAGGCCTGTCTTTCGGTAAACATATCTTGAGCTATAAATTTTGATAGATGATGTGAATTTGCACCAAAAGGTTACATTTTAGTTTATGCTTTTTGTTTCAGGTGTGGTAGGAGTGAAGAAACCATCCTCTATTTGCTTAGTGACAACCCAAAAGCAAAAGGATTTTAGGATGTAACAATTTAATGAAGTCAATAACAATGCAGAAAACAGCTCCTACTTGTTGCAGCATCACACTACCTATAGCAAAGGGTCTTTGCTTTGGCATGGTGGTTAATATGGAAGCCCAAAAATGATGAGATATTCAAGACACTAATATTCCAGATTTCTCTATGACAGTGCAGGAACCAGGTAAAGGTTTTTTGGTGGAGTTATTGTAGACATGAACAGTAATTGGATTCTTGACTTCACTGAGGGCTGCAGAGTAGCAACTCCGTCATGTTAGGAATAATTAAAATATGCATCATAAAAGTTAGATGATACATAGCTCTTCAAATTGAAAATTATCCATTTCAGACTTTAGACCTCAAGATTTAACCTGCAAATGAAGTAAATCTTCAAGGCTACTTGCTTGGAAGTGTCTTTTATCAAACACCTTATGTGCATTTGTTAATTCCGCTGCCATCCACTCTTCTCAGCTCTGTGCAACTTCAACGAGCAAAGATAAATCTCCAATCATCCATGGAGGACGTCATCAAGTGGTATTCAGAGTCAAGGTTAGAGTTGAGCTAAGTGTTTCTTCCAAATCCGTGTTGTCTCATCATTTCTTGTTTTGTCTTGTGTTTACTGTTTTATTGAATTCTCAATTGTTCATTAAGGATTTCTGCAATTGCATTGAGTGTGTCTATGCCTTGAGTCAGTGTATTTCATCATTTTAATCGGTGCATTCTGTCTGAGTCATTTTCATTTTGAATTCTAAATTCTGTTTTGTCTAAGTCATGTGCATTGGTTAAAAACTGGTGCAGTTTTAATCTGTTCTTAAATCTGATTTGAGTTGCGCATTTGCTTTTCAAATTTTGTTTGAGCCTTGGTGTAATCTCTATCAAACCACAAAAGCCATGAAACATTCAAATGTATGAGCTGGTTAATAGATATCCATTGGTCAGTTCAATTGATTCTTTGAAGTTGAATTCTGTTTTAGTCCACATTAATCTGTTAAATTCATTCTGGATTTTGAGCTGCTGACAAATAGCAAGTGCATACTAACAAAGATCAAGGAAAGGCATAGCCTAAATCATTTGCACATTTTGCAAATAGCTTAGCAACTTTGCAGCAGTTAGCCGAAACTGCATTTCATTGATTGAGTCAATTCTTTAGTTTTTCTAATCTGGTTCAGCATTAGAATCATTGCTAGACTTCTGGTAGTACATTCTTAGAGTCTTTATGAAATTTCAATTGCTGTTTCAGAGTCATTCTCATCATTAATTTGTCATTTGAGTCATTACAACTTAAAATTGGTGGTGAGGTTGAGCTATGTGACTGCATAAGTGGCTATTGCAAGTTTAATTTTCGAATTACTGTGTTTTGCATCCCATTTTAGTGAAAAAAGTTTGTTTTGATGTTTTAAACATGCTGAGATAGTTTAATTCGAGTTAAATCAGCCTTTGTGCAATTTCACCTTTTGAAACCACCATTTTAAGTCAATTTTTATGAGGCAAGTGCAGTGTAGTACTGAGTTTTTGATTTGTGCATTTATAATTGAGTTGGATTGTAGTAAGATCTAGGTTTTGATTAAGTCAAAATAAATGAAAAATAATATCTAGACAAGTTTAAAAAGCGTTCAGACCTTGTGCAATCCAACTTAGACAAGCTCCAAATCAGATTCTGAAAACATTATCTGTTATGAACTAATTTCATTGGGGCATTTTATCAAACACTTTCGTAAAATTAAGTACTGGAGTCAATTAACTGTTTCTGCTCAAACTTGCTGGTTTTTTTCTTGCTTCCTTATTCTTTTCTAGAGTCACTGGTAGGATCAATTTGCGTGCATTCCCTTCCTAAGCAGCTTATTTGATTGATTGTCTTATTGGCTTGATAGTTTTGTTTTTCACTATAAATTCTGATCAGCTTTTGAGAAATCAGTTTGATGCACTGATTGATTGGTCAGTGGTGGCTGTTATTAGCAGTTTGGTGCAGCTTAGAAGACTTGCAAGGAAGCAAGAAAAGGGTAGTGTATTAGGTGGTGGAGGGTGAATCTCTCTTTGGACGTGCAACAAACCCGAACCATGGAGTGCAACCTGAAATTCTGTTTCCAGCTAGCCTAAATCTGATTGAGAGTTGTATAAAAGGCACCCAAATCACAACCTACACCACTGCAGCTGTGAGCTTTGTGGCTGTATTCATTGCAGCGTTCTTTATTCCAGAGAATCCCAAAGCTGCATACCCCTTTCTTTTACCGTTTATGTCCAGAAAATAAACTGTTGCATCTGTCTTTTAGTTGCTGATTGAAGTGCAAATATCCAAAATTCTTTAGAGAGTGGTTTATTAATTCTGCCTTCCTGGTTAAATGAGTTGTGTGACTGCAATTGAATACTTTTCTCATCTTCGATGTCACTGAAAGTCAGAATAGAACATTCAATTGTGTCTATTCCACGTTCATTGCGAGTTCTGGATTGTTGGTTAGTTTCATTGGTGCAGATTGATTTAGAAAGCTGGAAGAAATGCAAAACAGCATAATGCAGTGTAGGTTGGTGATCTGAACCCGTGACACAAGCGGCTACAACACCTTTTTGGAGCCCTGACATGTCTCTTGGTCCAAATACTATCACAGCAGCTGAACACAACCCCAGAATCATGAAGCTGTGAAGCCCAAAAGAGCAGAAGTTAAGTTGTCCATACAGCCTGGAACACACATCAGAATCAACATGACGCTGACTCCCAGTAGTTGAAGAGAACCGACCAGCGAAATCCAGCAGATTTCATAGCTTTGCATCTGTTTTGTGTAATTGCTTTAGATTTCAATTTCTTTTGGTTTTTCTTTTGTAAAAGGCCATTTTTTGGACCAAGTGTTTTGGAAGATTCCTTGGTGCTTTTTCAACTCTTGGCAAACTTTCTTGCTTGTTTAAATTTCACATAGCTTAGTCGGTGAGTGTGTCTTATTAGCCAAAGCTACAAGCCTCACCATAGGATTTTCTTTTGCTTGTGAATGTGTTATCCAAAATTGGTCAATTAAGTAGCTTTAGACATTTTGGCTAGGTAAAGCTTGGTACTTAAGTAGCCCTTGGCTCATCTCTCTTACCTGGAAATTATCTTTTGGTGAAATCTTAAACCTTTTCAAATTAGGAACACACTTTTGAAATTAAAATATGTTTGAACATCTATCTCACCACATAGAGAGTCATTATGAGGAAATCATCACTTTAAAACAAAAAGAACTCAGAGAGCTCAATTTATGGTGACTAAGACATGAGGAAAATAAGAACATGGGTGGAGTGTACTATCAAGCTGAGAGAGATATCACATTCTTTGGTAGGAACATCAGTGCATTATCATACTTAGCTTAGGAGAGGAAAATTGATTAGTTACATCCATCCTTTGCTAGCAATAGTAAATCCTATGTTCTTAGTATATACACTTCTAGGTTCGAAGATCATGCAAGTAAATGGTGGAGCCGAAGGCAATATAGTTTTAAGAAAGGTAGAAAATCCCCCATCCATGATTGGAGTGAATTAAAAGCTTGCATGAGGAGAAATTATGTTCCTCCTTCGTTTGATAGAAACCAAGAGCTTGTAAGAGAACTCATTAAAGAGGGCAAGTCATTCATTAAAAAATTAAGTGAGTTCTTTCATAGGGAAATTAAGTTTGGAGAAAAACTTATGATGCTCTTGGATGAGAAAAGAGCAAGAAAAATTGAAAGACAAAAGAGGGAATTACAAGAGATAGTTCAAAGAGAGAGAGAGGAGGAAGAAAGAAAAATAAAGAGAAAGCAAGAGAGATAAGAAAAGGAAGACAGAGAAAATTAAAGAGCAAGAGATAAGAGGGAAAGAAGAAAAGATAGAAAGAGAAGAATTTGAAAGAAGACAAAGGAAAGAAAAAGAAATGGAAGAAGCGAAGAAAGTGCAATTAAGGGCAACATTTCCTCCCACAATCACAATTGAATCAAGACTCTTAAGGGACGGTTTTCAATCCTTTAACTTTTCTCCACTTGTCATTGAGTTTTCAAATTTTAACTTTTATTTTGAAAAAAGTGTCATTCCATCCTTTAAAATGTTACAACTTTCAAAATGTGGCAATTCACAACTTGAGTTATTGTTACCTCTATGGTTACAATTAGCTCAAAACAAAAATAAACTTTTAAAAGAAGAAAGGTTTCTTAATTCTATTAAAGTTAAAAATTTCAATATTAGGAAACCTTCTTCTAAACATATTTTTTTTATATATCTTATTGAGTCAAATAAAATTAATTAGAAATATGTTTTATGCTTATTGCATATTGACATTTAGGAGAGATTCATGTGGATTCCAACAAGAATAAAATCATTTCAAGATATTCATGTGGATTCTAACAAGAATAAAATTATTTTAAGATGGCCTACTCCCAAGACTTTGAGGAGTCTCTTCTACAATAATTTTATATATCCTTGTAATAAAGACGAACCATCAGATTTGAAGACAAATCCTTCTCAAGGAAAGAGATGATGACTTAGGCCTAAGCTCAATAACAAGTCAAGACCCATTACTCATGGAATGATCAACCAAATGATTTGGACCCAGGTCCACCTTTCAATGAAAGGCCTCATCACTAGAGGAATGATCAGAAGACTTCAAGAGGACCTGAAAGACACTTCCAAGCAAGAAGCCTTGAAGATTTACTTCATTTGGGGCCAAGTGTAGAGTGACTTCCGGATTGCCTGCGCTCAGCCCAAGACTTTTCGTGCCCAGCATGCGTGGTGCTTCCTAGCCAGCAGTAAAGTGCAGCACGAGTTTTGGCACTTCCCACACATTGGAAACGTGTTGTACACGTGGAATGTGATCCACATATCACAGCTGATCATCAAGCTAGCTTAGGAGATCAAATCCAGGTGCTTGAATGGTTATAAAGTCAGCACCCATCACTTGTAATTGACACTTTTGATGAATATAGTATTGAATCCTTGTTGAGATCACTCCCAGGCTCCATTCTTCATCTGAGTCACGGTCAGATAGAGCTTCTAAGCCTCCTCTAGCCACCTTTCCTAGATAGATTCCTTTCTAGGCTTCAAATTGCACCAAATCACATCTGCCATACATTACGCCTTTCATCAAACACCTTATGTGCATTCGTTAATTCCGCTGCCATCCACTCTTCTCTGCTTTGTGCAACTTCAAGAAGCAAAGATCAACCTCTAATCATCCATGGAGGACGTCATTACAAGGTTGAAATAATAATTTTTATATTAATGGTTAATATACTTTATATCAAGAAAACAATTGGACAAACTTTAAGTGTTGTATTTAAAAAAAATAAAAAATGTTTCGGTTGAACTGATAAGTATCCACAACTCCAAGATATTTAAGCTCTTACTTCCCAATTCTACTCTAATGCTTCTCTTTGTTGCATACATCAAATCTCATGCTGCTACCATATTCAATTTATGCTTTGCTGTATACATTTTTAATAGAAGATTATAGAGTTAAATCGTGGTAGTGACTTCTTAATGTATCAAAAAACTTCAAACACGTAACTAACGTTTTTCCCCAGCGCCTAGTCTAGAGCACTCACTATTCGAGGGGTCACCATTGAGTTCTATAAGCAATTTACAAACAATTTTTTCCCTTTCTTTGTTGAATCCTAACATCATCAACATTTAACTTGGAAGTTCGAGACTTTATTATTGACGTTAAGATTTTAGAATAAAAAAAATATAAAATATGTGGAATTCTAAAAGTTCATGTCAAGACATTTTTAGTTTTACTTAAAATACATAATATTTGCTATTTGTTGATGAATAAGTTTGATAATTATAATAAGATAAACATTTTCTTCTTAATTGACTATTGGAAAGGATCAACATTATTGGTCTAATATCAAGTGAAAAATAATTTGATGACTATAAGCAGTTTCAAGTTTCACCGCTGTCTAAATTTTAGTTTGGTGATATTAGATAGTCATTTTGGTAGCATGTGACTCACAAATTATGAAGTCCCACACTATTTAGCATACTGACAAAAAGTTGAAGCTTGAGAGATAAAATCTAAACACTTCAAGTTACCAAAGCATACCTTTCTCGGCCTTTTGGCTAAGATCAAGTGTAGTATCTGTTCTTATCAGTTTAATATCTGATATGTGGACTATTAGTTCACATGATATTAAATTAATTTTTTGAGGGAGAGAAACAATGAGTAGCTTGCTGCTTGGTTTCTTAAGCATCATCCTTGTTTTGCACTCTTGCAAGGCCTGGTGCATCCCACCCAAATTAGTTCAATTTTCTGGTCTGACACTTCTGCAAAGTGCTGGTGCTTCCCGCCCAAAACAGTTGCAAAATATCAATTTTACTTTAGAGTGACTGCAACACTTGTTTTCTAAGTAGTGATATATCTATATTAACACTTAGGTATTTATATATAAGAAACACTCTCTTAAACTTTAATTAGGCATGCATATCAATCCTATTGCAGAAGGACAACCATGGTTGGTGATAACAAGTAAAATATAATTGGAATAAATAGCTTAAGTTTCTTCAGATATCACACTTGTCAGAGTACTGACATGTACCTGAAGTTTGAGATATAAAATTTGAATACTCGGCTGAAATTATGTATTTTTATTTTAAGTCCCAGCTTCCACAATGGATCAGTGATGATAGATATCTGCATATCTGCCTCTTTTGTCCATTGACTAGGCGTAACATAATCTGTGCACTGGTAAACAGCTTAAGCTTAGGATGTAAAATAGGGAGAGGACCATCAACGCAACATGCTATTTGGTTTCTGCTTTTGCACTCTTGCAAGGGCATGGTGCATCCTACCTAACAGTTCAATTATTTATTCTTATTTCTGATGATTTTTATTTTAATGTTCTAATTGGTTGGTTGCTTATAATTTTTGTAGAATATAATTACTAAAGCCTGAGGTTTGCTAAATATGGTTGAAGTATATTTCATTTGTTCTTTGGTGGTGTTTGTCTTCTCTATAGATAAAGAATTTTCAGGCCCATAAAAACGCTGGTGGAAGGAAATTGTTTTTGAAAGAAATAGGGAGAAAGCATCCCAGTTATCTGCTTCAAGTCTTAGTGGATGAGTTAGAAAGAAGAAACTTAGCTTCTACTTCAATTACCCTAGCATAGTTTGGATAGATGAAAGCTGGGTCCTCTTCTTAATGGATTAGTTGTTTCTTTGGGACTGTCATAAAGTATAAGAGTTTCATAATTACCTTATCATATGGATTTTTCTAAGCTATTTGTTTGTTTTATACTGAAATTATCCTTCCTCATCCAACAAATCAAGGAGGACATTTTGCCTTTGAAGATTGTTTGTAAAAAAAGTTATGTATTTTTCATTTGTTCTTTGATGATGATTGTCTTCTCTTCTGATCAGCCACGACTTCTTCTCAAGGCCCAGGTTGTAAGTAAGATTAGTCCTGGTCTTGGTTTTTCTCCCACAAGGGATCAATGATGAGCTCGATAAAGTTACCCTCTTATTTATTTAAAGGTTCCTATTACAAATCAGGTTCCCATTCTTGAAGCTGAACATAGTCCGCAACTTTTTTCCATTGACAAGGTTTAACATATCTGAATTTTTTCCATTAACGTTAGCATACATATCATATAAGAAATACTTAGTTAAACCTTAATCAGGCATGAACCACTCCTACTGATAAGGATTAAAATGGTCGGCAATATCAAATAAAATATATTTGGAATGACTATAATTAGCTTCAAGTTTCATTAGACATCACATGAACTCAACTGCTGTTCTAAATTTTAAACTCTGTTCATCATTCTAAATTTCAGAAAAAGACACTTGGGGTTTTTCCCTCTTTAATGCTCTCTCTCATTAGCTTTAGTTTTTATTTTTCTAACTAAAGGAGGCACACACTTTCTTCTCATGCAAACTCTTAGTTTATACTAAGCATGAATGAAGGATTTTCTACCTTGCTCAACATTAAATTGCCTT